TATATATATATATAGTATATATATATATATATATATATATATATATATAGTTCTACAAATATATGAACCTGAAAAGCTCAGTGTTCAGGGTGATGGTGGATTGGTAAGTATGAATGCATTTCCTGAATTGGTCAATATTTTTTTCGCATAGATTCTTACCGCTTTCTGGAAAAGATTCTCGCCTTTTTTGTTTTTCAGTTGTTTTGTCATATTCAACCGATCGAGCATCTGCTTGGCCATGGTGAATTCACTACCTTCTGACCTTTTCGGTCTACCATGGATTATATCTAATCTTTTGTTTTGTTTCCCTTTTGAACGGCCTACACATAGATTGGCTGGTGACAGTCTATGTTCTGCAGATGAACCGTGTTCAAGTCATGTATTGATGGATAAGAACGCCTATCATCGACAGGATCAGGTTCCGTTAAAATTATGCGATATTATATCGTTTACATGCATGTACATGCACACATACATAAAAATTCACTGTATCCCGTCACAGAAGTCTACTCGAGTGTGATTACGCCTAATATTCTTCGTATATTGTACTACGAGTTTCTAACCCATAAGGTGCACATAAAGAAGTGAGAGCAAAGATGACAGGTCGTCAAGATTGCTAAGTCCGAAACAATTTTGCTTTTTTTAATTTCTTTTACAACATTCACATATTGTATTGAATTTTCTTATCGCAATAGATCTCAAAAAGACTACAACCTAAATGCCTATTGGACCAGCCGAAATTGGGATTGGTATAGTTTAGCCCCCTCTCGAATATCGTACAGTATAAATACTGTAAATAATTTACAATGTATGAAAGCTAGAATATCTGAAATCCAACACGAAATGTCTGTTTAAAATCTCGTCTGATTGGTAAGGTTATAGTTGAGTTTAACACGCGATCTAATTTTATAGCACCGTATGCAAAAATTTAAAACCATATTCTCAAATTGAAGGGATCTTGATATTGTCGTAATTCATTCTTGGATAATCTGCCAATAAGAATCACGATAGCATTTCGCACCATTTTTCTTTTCTTTCGTGTGTGCACAATTGTGCATGTGGAAATAATAAACATCCACAATTCCACACATAAATAGTTTTATAAAAACAATACCGACGCATGTGAACGAACATGTAAATGCGGGAATAACTTAATATTCACAATTCCACACATTAATAAATACGTAGTTAAAAGTTTTATAAACAATACCGAAGCATGTGAACAAACATGTAAAACAGTGTTGTCATGCTGTTTAGTAACAATATTGTGTATTAAAATACACACATATGTATATTAAGGTATTGTATACATCTATTCCCCGATCAGTCAATCATTAGCGGCTCGCTTTGACTCTGAATAATAACATTCAATCTCGATATCTTGAAATTTACTTACACAACTGCGAAGTTGTAGAAAGGATCATTTGAATGGGTTTATTATTGAGTGGAGGATGTATAGATTATATCTGGGCTCTCGATGATCTAAATTCACAACAAATATAAAATCAACTACTCCTAACAAATTTTAAAACACTTTAGTTGTATTCAATACTGTTCTTTATTTGGTTCATATTATTCGGGATATGTTGATTATGGGGTCGGTTTCAGATATTCAGTTTTAGCTGAGGAAGAATGAGCTTAAATATTACCACAAACTGGGCTGTTCGTGTGCATCTCAGTCAAATATAGAGTTAAATTGTGGCCAACTCTGGATATCAAATTTGACAAGTCGATTGATTGAAAGTATTTACGGCTACCTGCTGTCTCCGTATCTAGCAACGTATATATATGAGTTGTGATCCGACGTAAATATCTCGAAGTCAAGTTGCTGCGAAGAATCAGGCGTGGCATAATCATATTTATCAACCGACAACTGTATGGTTATTTTCGTCCTCACTGAAAGAAGTCAATTGCACATACACTTTGAAGCTTGCATCATTTACCTTCATTTTCATCTGCTGGAGCTTGGAATCAGGATTACACAGAGGAATAAATACATAGGGACACATAGCCTAAAAACCCTATTGGACTCATAAACGCGTGACACAATACTTTCGGCCGCACTACTATAAGGAGTAGTGCTGTGCATGCACACTAAGGTGGACGTGTACGTGTACATAAAGTGTGTTTTACTAACTTTATACGACATGTATTCACTATCAAATTGATTCTAATTTTTTGGTCATCATTTTTTTATCTGTGGTCCCGGTACCAAAAATTCCAGACCCGGTATAGAACTGTAGATGCTAGTAGGCTTGTTCTGAGAATCTGAGGGACATCGCATCTTCGCCAGGCTTAGCAGGCCCACTTCACCTTTCGAAATCTGCAAATTTCTTTATGGCCAATCAATATTGAGTCGTCGCAGGAAACGTTGATTTATCATAGTTGCTAATTCTCGTAGTTGAGATGCGCTAATTTCTGAACGTTCGGACGTTTTTTCATAGCCTTCGAAATGAAACAGTTTTTTCCTCAAAATTTGTCGTACATACTAAATATTTATTACATAGCCTTCTGTATAATTTAGAAGGCTATGTTTTTTTACACAAGTTGAAAAGAAGTACATATACAATAAATTATCCACAACAGTAGGTGAACTACAAGTTTGCAAGAACAGTTTCGACATAATGCACGTCACAGTCTTTGGGGGAACAGGTGGTACAGGGGTAGAGTGTATCAAACAGCTACTAGCGGCCGACCACAGTGTTGCAGGTAATGTATACTAAGATGATCATACTTATGCTTGCTCGATTATAATTGCAATACATGTCGAGTTGCGACACTTTTGAAACTCAATTCGATCGCTAGCGATCATTTACTTGCGTTAGCCTGTTTAGTTCAAGTAGCTAATCTTATTTTGGAGTCATGAGCACACACCTCCTTCAAATACAATTTGGGGTAATAAGGCTATTTGCTCTGAACAAACAATTGCAGCGCTCGTCAGATCACCAGAGAAGTTAAGCGATGAGATAAAAGTAGATCCAAACTTTACCATGCACGTGGGTAATGTGCTGTAAGTTATTGAATTGGTCCATATCAGTTTTCGCGGTTAGTACAATTGCTGGTACATAATTTATATAGCGAATAGTTAGCAGCTCTCGATGATTCACAGCTTGAATACATACACGTTGCAAATACCCTGCCATTATATTTGATACCAATACATATTCGCTGCTGTGACGTACAAATTAGCCAGTGCCCTGATATATA